TTTTTTTTTTTTTTTTACAATTCTTTTGAAGTTAAAAGTTATTAAATACTAATTTCTTCAGTTTACCCTAATTTAAAATTAAAACAACCATTTGAACTCAATTGTCAAGTGACCAACGAATCTTATTTACGGTAGATAATTTCTTAAGACACCCGAGTTATTAAGGGAGTATGATGGGGTGGAAAATGATATAAGGGAGCCTGACGTAGAGAATTTTGTATCAGAAGACACGGATGATGAATTAGATGAATAAGATGTTATTGAATTGGAGTCCAATAAAGTGTTAAATAAAATCTAAGTTACTATGCTATTTACTTACTATTTTGTATTTAAATTTTAATCTTATATTTTTGTTAGAATCTTTGAAAAAATGTATAAAGTTCCTATAAATATGTTATAAATGTTTAGTATGCATTATTTTTAATTATTAAATGATTTTTTGATTGATTAAATATTAAAATAAGAAAACGCTTTTTTATGCTATTTTACGCAAAAGCCTCGCTTTTGCTCGTCTAGTCCATTGCTTGGTCTCCATGCATCGTCACGCATTGCGCTATTTAGAACACTGCATTTTTTACAGAACCATTTTCGAAGGAGTAGACAAAACGCTCATCCTTTCTCTCTCCTCTTTCTCTCTCTAAGAACATCTTGTTGCAGCCATGATCACAAAAAACACTTCTTGTTTGATGTTCTGCGTGTTGTTTTTCCTATGTTTCTCTGTAAACCTTAATCTCTCCGAAGGAGCTGACAGCATCACAGCAAACCAATCTTTGTCTGGTGTTTTAAACCAGACAATTGTCTCGGCTGGAAGGACTTTTGAACTGGGATTCTTCACACCAGGTAATTCTGCCAATTATTATGTTGGAATATGGTACACAAATGTTAGTCAACGGACCATAGTTTGGGTAGCAAATAGGGAGAAACCGATTTCAGACATTAGTTCTGCAGAACTAAAAATTTTAGATGGGAATTTGGTGCTTGTGGAAAAATCCAAGGATCTGATTTGGTCCACTAATATAAGTTCGACAACCTCAAATTCTGTAGTGGCAACCCTAAATGATTATGGGAATTTAGTTTTGAGAGACGAGTCAGAACCTAGGACAAGTGAAGGATTTTGGCAAAGTTTTGATCATCCAGCTGATACATGGTTGCCTGGGGCCAAAATTTCTTATGACAAACGTACGAGTAAAAAGCAGCTCCTCATTTCTTGGAGAAATTCTGAGAATCCGGCACCTGGGCTTTTCTCCCTCGAATTAGATCCAAATGGGAGTCAGTATATTATAAGATGGAATAGGACAGAACAGTACTGGGCTAGTGGAGCTTGGAATGGGTATATTTTCAGTTTAGTCCCTGAAATAAGTCTGAATTATATTTATAATTTTAGCTATGTAGATAATATTAACGAGACTTATTTCACTTATTCTCTTTTTAAACCTACGTTTATATCGAGATTTGTGATGGATGTTTCGGGTCAACTTAAGCAGACATCATGGTCTGAAAGTTCGGAGGGGTGGAATTTGTTATTGTCTCAACCTAGGCAGCAATGTGAGGTGTATGCTTATTGTGGGGCATTTGGTACCTGCAATCAGAATTCATGGCCCTTCTGTAAATGTTTGCCAGGATTTAAACCCAAGTTGGAAAATGATTGGAATTTGACGGATTATTCGGGTGGCTGTGTAAGAGAGATCGATTTACTGCAGTGTGGGAATGGTAGTACTTCATCGGGTAGGAAAGACAAGTTTTTGCAGAATCCCCAAGTCAGTTTACCTGTAAATCCTCAAAACGTTACGGCAGGGAGTGCTGGAGAATGTGAATCTGTCTGCTTGAATAATTGCTCTTGTACAGGTTATTCTTACAATGGCAATACATGCTTGGTTTGGATTGGGGAAATAATGAATTTGCAACAACTCCCGGAAAATGATGGCAGTGGGAGAACTATCAATGTTCGGCTTGCTGCCTCTGCTCCTCAGTTATCGAGCAAGAAGAAGAATGAATGGGTTCCAGTAGGCGCTATTGTGGGTTCTGTTGCTGTTGTTACGATGCTCTTAGCCATTGTTGGGGTCGTGATCTGGAGACGTCGAAGCCATATACTTGGAACTGCAAAAGCAGTCAAGAGATCGTCTGTAGCATACTTGGAGTTTGGGAGAGATAATAAGAATGATACCGGTGTTCCTTTCTGCAGTTGGAAAAGTATATTAGCAGCTACAGAAAACTTTTCAGACGTACACAAAATAGGGCGAGGGGGATTTGGACTTGTTTACAAGGTTTTACTATGATTTTACTTCAAATTACCAAAGTGTCCGTCGATATTCTTTTCTTATTCTCTATATGGGAAGAATTTTTCTTTCATAAATAGTTTAATTTAAGAATAGATATAAATGAGTTATGAATAAATAAATAATGCTTATAACTACACCAGAAAGTGTGGTTAAGCCATGTGGACCCCAACAAATGTACCAGTGATGTGGCCAACAGATCCTAATGCCTCTCAAGTCCATGCAAACTGGATTACTGCACATTTGGACAAATCGTTAGTCACATCATGGTCTGAGAGTACGAAGGAGTGGAATTTGTTTTGGTCTCAACCTAGGCAGCAATGTGAGGTGTATGCTTATTGTGGGGCATTTGGTACCTGCAATCAGAACTCATTGCCCTTCTGTAATTGTTTGCCAGGATTTAAACCCAAGTTGGAAAATGATTGGAATTTGACGGATTATTCAGGTGGTTGTGTAAGAGAGATCGATTTGCTGCAGTGTGGGAATGGTAGAACTTCATCCGGGAGGAAAGACAAATTTTTGCGGAATCCCCAAGTCAGTTTACCTGAAAATCCTCAAACCGTTATGGCAGGGAGTGCTGGAGAATGTGAATCTGTCTGCTTGAATAATTGCTCTTGTACAGGTTATTCTTACGATGGCAATGCATGCTTGGTTTGGATTGGGGAAATAATGAATTTGCAACAACTCTCGGAAAATGATGGCAGTGGGAGAACTATCAATGTTCGGCTTGCTGCCTCTGCTCCTCAGTTAGCGAGCAAGAAGAAGAATGAATGGGTTCCAGTAGGCGCTATTGTGGGTTCTGTTGCTGTTGTTACGATGCTCTTAGCCATTGTTGGGGTCGTGATCTGGAGACGTCGAAGGCATATACTTGGAACTGCAAAAGCAGTCAAGAGATCGTCTGTAGCATACTTGGAGTTTGGGAGAGATAACAAGAATGATACCGGTGTTCCTTTCTGCAGTTGGAAAAGTATATTAGCAGCTACAGAAAACTTTTCAGACGTACACAAAATAGGGCGAGGGGGATTTGGACCTGTTTACAAGGTTTTACTATGATTTTCTCCAAAATTGTTTCCTATATATAATCAAGTTTGACTGTTTGTGCCGTTATGTTTAAATTCTTGTTCTCAAACTCCTGCAGGGACTGTTACCTGGCGGGCAAGAAATTGCAGTGAAAAGGTTGTCAAGCTTTTCAGCACAGGGCTCTAATGAATTCCAAAATGAAGTTGTATTGATCGCTAGGCTTCAACATCGTAACCTCGTTCGACTTCTGGGCTACTGCATTGAGGGGAATGAGATGATCTTACTCTACGAATATATGCCCAACAAAAGTTTGGATGTCTTTATATTTGGTTAGTTCTGTGAAAATTATATGTTTTGTTATGCAATTGTCATTTCAATCAATAATTTATTTATTTTTTTCACAAAAAATTCTAGATAAAAAATTATGCGTTTTACTGAATTGGAGGAAACGGTTTGAAATCATATTGGGGATAGCAAGAGGCGTTCTTTATCTTCATCAAGATTCAAGGTTAAGGATCATTCATAGGGATTTGAAAACAAGCAATATTTTGTTAGATGCAGAGATGAACCCCAGAATTTCAGACTTCGGTTTGGCAAGAATTGTCGAGGACAAAGAAACACAAGCAAACACCAACAGAGTCATGGAAACTTAGTAAGTATCAATCTAAAACAATATCCTTTCATGACCACCGTAATTTTTTAATATCTTGTCATGACTTTTATGATCTTTTACATACAAGTACAAACTCGAGAAATTGGTCTAGTTCAAGAAATTCAGTTCATAGAATAAGGACTAAAGAAACAATTTAAGAATTGGATGACATAAAATTGTTTACGCGGTTCAGCCAATATCTACGACCCTAGAGCTCAGTTTCTTGAGCTAACTACACTATGAACCAATGAGGATACATTCTGAAGATTAAAAGACAAATACACCTCCTCTTTGAAATACAACAAATAAGAGGAAAAAAAAAAAGGAATTTTGAAGTAACATTCTACCTCTGCCTTTTGTTTTCCATCTCTCTCTCTCTCTCTTCTTCAAGATTTGTTGTATGATTGGTGGCAATGGGCCGACTTGGCCTATGCACCCATGGAACCTGCATGGCCCCTGGGAGGGTCCAGGCTGGTTCTCCCACTGTAGCAGCCTATCAGGTCGTCTTTGGCACATCCCAATTTACAAAGGTGGCCCTACATGGCCTGCAGGCATGCTCTGGCTCTAATTGATTTGTTTCCATTCTACAACTTGAAACAATCAATTCGTTCATATAATTGATTTAACCGACTCTAATTGAATAGTTGTATGGCTGGTTTTGTAACCAATTGAGAGCGTTCTCTCATATCAAAGTGTGTGGATCATGATCAATAATAAAATAGATATTTAAATTCGAATATAGTCCCAGTGAGACTAATTATTTACTACCAACTTTTATCTTAAACCTAGCTTTATAATGTGGTAACCAATTAATAATTCGAGAATTTGTGTTCTAACTAAATCTTAACTAATTTTATCGATGCTTGAAAACTTTTGAAATTTATGGGATTAAGTATTCAGAAATTTTGATTTCATTAAGGTTATTTACACATTCATCTAATCCAACATCATTCAATCCCTTTTCATATGTATTAACAATTGAATTGACCAATTTTAGCTAATGATCTCTTGAATAAAACTAATATAATCATATGCTCGAATGCACTATATTCCTATTTAAATACATACACTTATATACAAAGTAATTTGTAGGAATTCAATCAAAATTGCATAAGCTACAAAAGTATATCCAATCTCTTATTGGAACCTATATGACTTATTGCATGAGCTAGACTCAATATTGTCTCTAAACTAAACAATTAACGATCAAGCAACTGAATGTCATTAAACATATAATAATCAATTACTACATAATCAAATTTGCAAGAAATCTTTTGAATTAAATAAACATTAAACCTAAGTTACATTTTTCATCCTAACAACTTCAATTACTACATAATCAAATTGACAAGAAATCTTTTGAATTAAATAAACATTAAACCTGAGTTACATTTTTCATCCTAACAACGAATTATTTAGCCACTCATAATTGCAGAACTAAACAATAATGATTAAAAACATCAATTGGTTCAATACAATGAATCTTCAACCTCTAGCTTGATAATTGTAGTTCTCCCGATCAATTGATGAATATAAGCCTTCAAATCCCAATTTAGAGTCGCAAATCTCAAGAGTCTCTAATATCTCCCTATTTTTGGAATGAATGAATCATACTTATAGACCTCAAATTAGATCAAAAATTGAGCCCCAATTGATAAAGAATCAATAGTTGAATAGGATTAGAAAATCTAGATTGTTGGCTCGCAACTAACGGTGTGGTCACACACTTGTAATTGCTGTGATCGCATGGTATTAAATGTTTACTTGCTGCTGAATAAATTTCAACCTGAGCGATCACAAGGGTCAATAATTTTCCAGGTTGTTACAATGTAGTCCTTAGTTTCGATTTCTCGTTTGGCTCTAGTTCATCTACGATCCTTTTTGATCAATTGTTGTTCATTTTCGATCATTCTCGTTCAATATCGGGTTTTCACGTAAAATAATCAACAAGCACAAAATTAAGTATCTAGCTCCTAATATTACTCCCAACCTCCCACCTTTTGTGGCTCAAATAGGTGTATAAATCACACTCATCAAGTGCATTTCTGTCTAATTTGTTAAAGACTGTTATCAAGGTCACTAGTCTCCATTTCTTCTTTCCAGTCCAAAGTACTGTACAGAATTTAACTCCTCTGTACCAAGTGAAATTATATCAGTAAAGACTTTCTATTTATTTATGCTTATAGATATAGACATCATATATATAGACATCATATATATAATGTTATACACACACACATATATGTATATACATACTAATATTTGTTTTCATGATTTAGCGGTTATATGTCTCCAGAGTATGCGTCGGACGGTCTATTCTCGATGAAGTCAGATGTATTTAGCTTTGGAATTATTGTACTCGAGATAGTTAGTGGAAAGAGAAATACAGGATTCTATCAGTCCACAGAAGCACTGAATCTTTTAGGTTACGTAAGTGGATAAATTCCTCCATTTATATGAAACTTTTCAGCCGATCACTTTATAAAATATTCTGAAGCTATTCCTGCAGGCATGGAGATTGTGGAGTGAAAACAAGGCACTAGATTTACTGGACCCAATGATGCTTGAATTTTGCGAGAAATCTGAAGTTGTCAATTGCATAAATGTTGGGCTGTTGTGTGTGGAAGAGGATCCCATTGATCGCCCTACCATGTCAAATGTAGTTTTGATGCTTAGCGGCGAAATGACAGTTCTTCCAGTCCCTAAACAACCAGCTTTTCTAATGAAAAAACGTGTTTTTAGAACATCGTCCTCGACCTCTAATAAACCAGATTCAATCTCCAATGAGTTGACGATGTCTGTGCCACAAGGGCGATGAGGAATTTGCTTTTTTCATTCCGTTGGTGTTTGTTTGTATGTCAACAGACCTATTCTTTAATATACTGTGGAGAATGGGTTATATAGAGCTGAGGCAAGTAAGATAAGAATCTTTATATGCTCACCTTTAGACCTTTTTTTTAATCTGTTAGGTATTGTTTACTCTTTAAGATACCATCTGCAAGATAGTGGCTGTTTTGAGTAAATCTATTTTAAAATTCGCGTGCTTATTTTTTAAGTCTTAATTGGGTCGAATTGATCGTTGCAATTTAATGGACTCTAATACTATATTAAGACTTAGAGTTTCATCTTAAATGGTCAACTTTATTAAGATAAGTAACACAAACGCTATATATTGATTTATATTTTCATTTTTATTCAATATTAAATTTATCCTTAAAAAACCTACCATGCATGCAATTGGAGGAAGTTTCGCCATATAATAAAAGAACAATTGAGAGCAGGGGAAAATAGCTGCCGAAGTGTGAAGAAATATAGAGGGGAGACAAAAGGAAAGAAGTATTTAGGACTGTAATAGAGAGAAATCTACGCCGCACACCCATGGCCAATCATGCAAGTCATGAGGTTGGCGTAGTAATTCCTGAGATGAATGTGTCTCCTGAATCCTTGAACTACCATAGAAACCCATAAACCACCATGGAGTTGCATTCAGGGGTTGACTTATATCACCAATAGGGTCCGTTGAAAGGACTATACGATTACATTCTCCAGATTTATCCATGGGCGAAGACATGATTTAGTGTCAACAGGACAAAATTTAACTGCATCATTACTTTTTCAAATAAAACAAAAATATACTATTAAATCTCTTACAATTGTTTTTTATTGGTTTTCATACATTTAATATGTGATATATTATCTTCATTATTAATTTCCTTAGTACATTTTTTCAATATACACAACGTCATTTTCCTACTACATGAATGTACTTATCTAAGCTTTAGACTTTATGGTCAATATAAGCCCCGAAAATCATGTTGTGATTCATAAAAATTGTAATCGAGTCCAAAGCTTTTTCCTCCATTTATATGAAACTTCTTAGCAAATTCTCTGTATAAAATATTCTGAAGTTGTCAAGTGCATAAATGTTGGGCTGTTGTGTGTGGAAGAAGATCCCATTGATCGACCTACCATGTCAGATGTAGTTTTGATGCTTAGTAGTGGCGAAACGACAGTTCTTCCAAATTTCCAGTTCCTAATCAACCAGCTTTTGTGATGGAAACAAAAAAAAAAACGTGTTTTTACTGCATTGTCCTCATCCTCTGAAAAACCAGATTCGATCTCCAATGAGTTGACGATGTCTGAGCCACAAGGGCGATGACAAAATTGCTTATTTCCTTCCATTAGTGTTTTGTATGTTTAACCAGAATCTGCACCAACTTGTTTTAGTAACAAAAAAGTCATTAGTAAATAGGTCTATCCTTTGATACCCTGTGGAAACTGAGCTATATAGAACTTAAGCCAAGCATGATAACAATCTTTATATACTAATATTTAGACCTCTTTTTTTCTTTTTCATTTTTGGAGTATTGTTAAGTGAGAAACCCGTCATACATATTTTATATTATTTATGATTATGAATAAACAGTGCACAAAAATGGAAAAAGAATTCTAGAAATAGTATAATTTATGATGGATAATTTTTATTTCAGGAAGTTAGCCAAGGGATTGTATGCGCAAAATGCTTGAACAAACGCGTAACGCTATCGTTAGAATGAAATTAGCCAAGGGATTGAATTGAGTGAAGGTACTGTTACGCCTTAAAAAACGAGGACCCACACATGGGCTCAATTAACCTACGTGGCGAACGGCTCGGGGGCCCACACCTCATCACTGACATGGGAAAACTCAACTATACGCAAGCGAACCACTTCAAGTATGAACGACCCGCTTTTCCCTACATAGAAGACTTGGACAGACCCCGTTACACGTAGACCCCATTGCAAGAGCCGGTCCAGGACGAGGTGGTGGCGAGATCTTGAACAGATCTCGTACCATGTGATTGAAAAGACAACTCACTGTCACCCCGCCTCTACCATCCTATTTGGTCAAGTCTAGAGTGCAACCTAGGCCTAATGGGTACAAAAGTGGTCTTATCATTTAAAGCTATGATTGATTGATTGATGTGAATGACAAGGGAGGGTAGTCGTTTGGATGAGGTCACGTGCATTATCATTCAGCGAACCCCATTTATTTTACCCAAGTCTAAAAGTTCACACTCAATGTCATTTAAAAGTAATGCAAGTTTAGACTCTCAAAGTTATATTCTTGTTCACACACATTTTACTTTTCCATCCCCAAAGCTGACCCCCGTTTTACATTGGTGACTCACGTTTAAAGCTCTCCCACACTCAAAATTACTTCACCAACTTAGTTGGAGTGCGTGCGATCAACTCCATCCCTCATGGAGAAGGCCATGCACAACTAACTATTTGTTTAAGTATGCATGAATCTAGCTTGCGTGGACATGAGAGGCCTTAGGATCTGTTGGCCATATCATTGGTATATTTTTGGGGTCAACAGGTACAATATTGCAAGCTCTTAGATTTTGACTCAAATTATTCATATTAGCTATGAGAAGAAAATCTGAAAGAGGATAATTCGAGTGTAGTAAGCGGAGGAAATAAAATAATTAAAGGGTACCATTATAAGGAAATGAAGGGAAGATTTGGAGCGCGAAAAGAAACAAAACAAAAATTGCAATTGAAGAGTAGGCAATGATGAAATAAGTGCAAAAAGTACCTATATGTATGGATGGTATAAACTGTCTAAATAAAAATTGTTTAATAGAGAATAACATGTTCATTTAGATGCATTTACTAACCAAAAAGATTAAAAATATCACAAATTAGGTTTAAATGCTCCAACTCGAATTGACACTTGGAAGAACAATTCGTTAATATTATTTGATAAATTTATGACGCACCTGAAACGCGATGATATTCGATTCTAATATAAAAATCTTCAAACGAAAATAGAGCAATTAGCAAATATGATCATATTAATAAGCCATATATTTCTGATGAGTATTTTGACATAACAAATTATAAAACCCCAAAAGAGGTTCATATACCTGAATTGATGAAAAGTGAGATATCTCAATAAGTGTATCATTATGGAAAAAGAAATAGAATCGAAAATGAAAAGAAAAAGTTTGTCGACAATATTTTTGCACATGATGTACTGTATCATATAGCGAGAAATCAAATATCGAGCGAAGTAATAATTGGACAAATAAAAAGGATATAATCTTAAATTGAATTTACTAGAGAAATTGAAATTTCTAGACCTGCAGTCTTAAAAATTTAAAGATGTATATTTATGTAGAAAAACATGAGAAAAGTAAAATCGTAATATGAAATGCACGACTCTTTACAGTATGAATTTTGTGAAGACTTATATAAATAGATAAATTATCATGCAGTTGATATAATCACAAATCTCTATTTCTTTAGCATGACAATACATGAAATCTGATAAATGTGATTGTTTTTTATACTATCCTTAAAGGATTTAATATGTCTGGAACATAATTCAAGTGATATTATCTTGAGAGGAAGTAAATACGCACTGTACTTTGTTTTCACTTGACAAAGGTTTTCTCTCATTGGGTTTTCTTGGCAATGTTTTTAACGATGCAACTTTTGTAGCGTATTTAAAAGAATAATGTATAATTTTTCATTCATTGGGATTTTTCTCACATGATTTTTTCTAATAAGATTTTAATAAGACATGTTCTTTGTGTAATGAAAATCCCTAATTTAAAAGACATTTACCCTCAAAATAATACTATAATATATATGAGACTTCGGAAGAGCTCAACAAAATTGCAAATTATTTGAAAAATGAATTTGTAATGAAAGATTTGGAAAAAAACTAAATTCTGTCTTGGATTGCAGATTAAACATTTTCCAGAATGATTATTTGCTAATCAATCTATATATACAAAAAGAATCTTAAAATGCTTTTATATGGATAATGCACATCCATTTGTATCACATATGGTTATTCGATCACTTGATATGAAAAAAATCCATTTCCTCCACTGAAAGATGGAGAAAATATTCTTAGTTCTGAAGTACCATATTTTAGTGCAATTGGAGTATTAACTTATCTTATAAATTGCACTCGACCGACATATTTTTTTCTGAAAATCTCCTTTCAAGATATAATTCTACACCTACTCAAAGACATTGGAATAATGTTAAATATATTTTTCACTAACTAAATGGTACTATTAATTTGTGATTATTTTATTCTCAAAATCTGGGATCTACTTTAGTGGAATATGCATATGCAGGTTATATCTCTGACCCATATAAAACTAAATCACAAACAAAATATATGTTTACATGTAGATGAATAGTTACATCATGGAGGTATGTGAAACAATCTTTGATAGCAACATTCTCAAATCATTCTAAAATTATTACAATCCATGAAACATGCCTAGAATTAGAGGTGTCAAGACGGACGGGCCGGCCATGACCCGTGAAAATCGGGACCGCGGGCCGACCCGTGACCCGTGCGGGCGGTTCACGGGCCAAGGAGGTGTAACCCGCAGGCTTCGCGGGTTGCACCCCCACGGGCCGCGGTTAACCCACGACCCGTAAAAAAAAATTGAAAAAAAAAATAAAACAAAAT